AAAACGGATATAAATTGTTATAGATAGGTATGTACCTATATACAAATAAAGATAAATCGAAGTAGTGGATGGACATCTGTTAGTTATGGAAAAATACCACTTATAACAAAATCTACATTGAGGCTGTACCTTATACCTACCTACCTAATATGATTGGAATATGAACTCTTGTTGGATGATGCTGCGTGGCTTATAATATCACTTGATAGTAGATAAGTATTTTTATTTTGAAGAATGCTCTATACGCCGCTTAGGTGTTTATAATACTAAAGACTGATACTTCGTAATATAATATTTATGTAGGTAAATATTGCATACGTATAGGTAGGTAGGTACTATTCCTATTAAATAAACAAATTAATCAATTAAATTACGTTTTTACACGGCATGTTAGGTATTATTTAAACATCTTAAATAAGAATGGTAGTTTTGAACCTAATAAATTTTTAAATATTGCAATTTTATGAGAAATATACATATACCTAACCTAAGTACTCAAATATATACCTATATTATACTTAAATAGTTTTGGACCTACATTATTAATATCTTTACTATGATGATGATGATGTTCTCCTAGCCGATTCCGGCCACGGCGGCCAATCTCAATGAGTTTAGCCAACTGCGCAGGAGATATTATAGTGCTCAAGTGTACGCGCAGACACAAGTGCACTCTCTATTCCTATCACTCTCATACTCCGGTGGGACGACCACTCGACACGACCGGTGAGAGTTAAGGCGCAGGACCGACGGCTTTACGTGCTCTCCGAGGCACGGGGGTGAAACACCGCCAACTTCCCAACTCCGGGCTGTTACTGAGACTTACTATACAGGAAGACTCAATAACTAAACTTGGCCCGACCGGGGACTCGAACCCAGGACCTCCGGGTGTGCAGCCGTACATGCTAGCCACTACACCACCGAGGCAGTTAGTTTACTATATCGCCTACTTAAAAGATATTATTGGATTTTTTTACTTTATGATTGTATCTACTTAGTACCACTGATCAAATTATAGGTACCTATGCTAATACTTAGGTACCTATCTAAAATCTAATAACATCAATGCTATTTTCGAATACGAGTTTTTACATTAATTTTGGTAGGTACAACAGGAGTGCCTCACACAATAGATTCAGATTTTATTTATTTACAATCAAATAGCGTGAACGATTCAATGGTAGACAATAAAACTACAAATTCGCCGCAGTATGCGAATCTATGCAAAATAACACCAGAAAAACCAGATATTCTACTCCATTTGATAAAACTAGTTTTACCACGCGCCTCTATTATTTGCAATATTTTTATAAGTTAGGGGGAAATTTTGCGCTTGTAACACTGGTTTTAGCGCTTTGTAGTGTGACCTGTTAACGAATTATTGAATTAACTAATAATTATGGCGTTTGTCGTAAATTATTTTTTAAATAGACTAATATGATTTATTACCTGTTTTCGCGGTTTTAAACATGTCATATGAAAAAAAACATTCTTCACCCTGATTTGCCTTAACAAATTGTTAGGGATTAAGGAGACTTAAGAGATTTATCAATATAATATGTACCTACTTATAATACTTTATTGAAAATAATCTTAGCACCATTTTCAGATGTGTTGGACAGCCCCTTATGCAGCTTTCATGAGCACCGCAGACACTTCATTAGGCACCAAAGCAACTATTAACTATGCAATACATACCTTCCTACATATTATATGTACAAAAGTAAATCAGAAGATTTTCCTAGCTCATGAATACCTACAGAAGTTTTCAAGATAGAGAGCGTCTATAACTCTACGACTCGGATCATATTTTTATGTGACTAGATAAAGAACTTAATATTTCCTTGTTTTAGTGAAATTTACCTATGTAAATACCTATATGTATTACGATTACACAAGTAGGTACCTTAATAAACGACCTATTCCAAATAGTGTTTTAATAACTTAGGCATACCTAGGTTGTGAAATTTTGGAGAAAATAATTCTACGATTAATAAAATATATTTTAGAAAAAATATAGATAGGTAGGTATTATTATGTTGATAATCGGTACCTATATAGGAATCTATTAACAAAAGAATGTTAAATTAAGCCGTAGTTCAACATAAATAGGTACCTATGTTAATTTTAGTTAGTTCAAAGCAATGATATTGATGAAGTTTGTTTGCACTTAGGTTATAGCCTATATATAGGCTTTGTAGAATCCAAAGAATTGAATTACCTACCCTACACAATACCTTGTACAATAAACAATCTTTTAACTGATAGGTAGGTACCTACCTACCTATATTTTGTTTTAGTTTTGTTATTGTTTTTTTTATTGAATACCTACCTATTGTTTTTATTATTGGAAGTTGTGTTTAATTGGGAGCTCTACGTTATGTTTATTACTAACTCAAACTGCGCAAGTTGGACAAGTTAGAATAAAATAAATGTAAGTAAATTATGAGTAAGAAAAATAAGTAGGTAGGTATAGGTAGGTACCTCTTGCCTTAGTAATTTTCTAATAGGTAGGTAAATATGAACTTTAATGACATATAATATTTACTTTAAAATACTTTATTTACCTCAATTTGTTATGTAAGCTTTGTTTTGATTTGTATCGGCTGGCACCGACTTCGACAATCTTTTGATTAGGTTATCTACTTATTTATAGTAGGTAAATGAAAACTCCCTTTCAGTTATTTTTGACTTTTTAGTGTTTTGATAACATAAATGGACACATAGGTAATATTACAAATTCGATACATATGACAATATATAAATTCAATGGAAATTAAAACTGAGCAAATTCTTTAGTCCATCGAGCGTAGCCGCAAGCAGAAAGCTTAACAAAATAAGAATTGGCACTTCAAAGTAACTTAAAAAAAGAAAGAAAAGAAAGAGACTATAAGTTTCAGGTGTACATAACATTGAATCGTTAAAAATCAATACAAATGTGTATTTATCCAATACAAATGTCCATTTGTTTCTTTTTAATAGGTAAAAAAATCAAAGATTTAGGATAGTGCCATCTACAATGTTTTAAAGATTAATAAATTATTATTAATCTTTAAAACATTGTAGATAGGTACTTATGTTGCATAAAAAAATTAAATCGTCTAATAATAAAAATTAGATAAATTTGAATACCTGCCTAAAAATTTTTTAAAAGAAAGTAAGCACTTAAGCGATAAGACCATTGCCATTCATTGTAAAGTGTAAAATAAGAACCATGGTCTATGATCTCTTGAAAATGGAACGCGCAATTTGGCGCCAAAATTTGGCGTCGTTGAACAGACCGCGCCTCACATACGAGCCCCGCCCCACACACGTTGGCCAATCGCACGACTCTAAACACCCTCGCGCAACACGCATATTGATCTGCGGACACAGCTCGAACCGTTTACATTTCGACATATCACACACTAAACACCGACAAACAATAACGTGTGATATGTACAAGTGATTTTAAGCACTATTTTTTGTAAGATAAAGTCGAAATTACAACGCTAGTGTCAGTGGCTGTTACAATGCAAGCTTTTTCCAATAGAAGTGTAATTTATAATCTTGTTACAATAATAGAATATGAACCGTATATGTTAAAGAATAAGATAGTAAATTCTATGATTAGCACATTTTTTTTCAAATCGTTCTAATTTTAGGTAAAGTAATTAAATCCTTCTCACTTATTGTATATTTAATTTTTTGTAATAGATATTCATTAGTATTTATAGGTATATATTATTGTAATATTTTTTAAAATATTTTAGACTTTAGCTTTTAATATCTTTCAGTTTTTATAATATTAAAGGTGTAATTTACTTATTCAAATAATATTTATTCACAAATTTACAGCGCAACTTTTAGATTATCAATAATGTATATTACTTTTAAGTTAACGCCACCTAGTGGTCTTAAATTATAACTGTTTCATGTTTTCAGAACGAAATAATCTGTAGTTGGAGTTTGAATTCTAAGTGGTGTTTGCGTCCCTCCCTAGATGTCGCTACCAAAAAGAAAATACTATCAATGTTCCTAATTTTATATTAATTTTTTTCCTTAGTATTCTTTCCAAATTAAAATTATATTATAGGTTAATGGAAAGAGGTTGTAACTTTTATAAAAAAAATTTTTAATATTCTATTGTAAAATATTAAATTGATTGCAAAATATTTGCAAATTATTTATCAATCTACTGTATTATTGGTTTTGACTTATTAATTCTATATTATATTTATAAAATAAAACAGCATGTATGTAGTGAGTCTACACTTAGGCATTTCCAAGTCTTTATTACAAAATTAAATAAAATAGGTCATAAATAATTTTGAAAAAAGTGTTTAATCAAAAAAACATTTTACACACATTAAATTTTTATTAAATACGAAGACAAAATTCTAACAACATTTAAACACATTTATTTCAAGCTGAAATATTTTAAAAATAATACTTTTTGATGGATAATTTGAAAATAAAAGAATACTTAATAAATATGTAATAAAAATAAAATTTTCACTGTAATAACATGATAATCACATTAAAATCAGACATTAAATAATGTTTTCTTAGATTTACTAATACTACAAATATTCGCGTATTTGACATTTTATATAAAACTATCTTTTCTAATTTTTTTGCAGATTTATTTTGATTTTAGGTTCCCGACATTTCGAATGCTTCACAGCAACCATAGTTACGGGAGAGACTAAAGTTAGAGATGTTGCAAAGGCATTATAGACTTGTTACACAGTGCTTACCACAATTGAACAAAATAATTTCAAAAAATGGCACCAAAGTACCTTAAAATATTTGTTGATTTTAATTCTAAATATATTTTTTTTAGTTTTTCAAACCTAATAATTCTAGACACTTATTATTACTTATTAGTTCTATATGTAATTTAAAAAGTAAAATATTAAGCAACATGTTAAAGTTGTATAAGACAACATTTTAATTTTAAAACGTTTTGAAACATAAAAAGTAGTACAAATGTTATCATAAGCAATTTTAAATGTCTAAACTTGCTTTGTCATATCATTATCTTTTACCGGTTCATTTAAAACAAGGGGTACATTGCCTCCTGAACTGTTAGGGACCCAACCAGCTGATTCTTCCTCTATCTTTTTCTTTTCTTCTTGAAGCCTTTCATATTCATTTATTTCTATTTGATACTTTGGAGTTGTTATTCCAAAAAAACTAGCCAATGTCTCACCAGCAATATCAACTGCATTCAAAGCTTTAGTAGAAGATTTCCATGCATAATATGAAATCCATGGGCCCCATGTCAATGTTTTCTGAAACAATAATTGACAAAATACTTGCAATACAAAAAATTATTTATTTATATTTTATTAATATACTTAACATTTATTAATTTATTATTTGCTTTTTAGTAATAAGCTACTTTTATTTTAAATCTTATAAAAAGAACATTTCATTTAATAAATATTTATGCTACTAAAAATAAAAATAAAATGAAGTACACAAACCACAGGAATAGGAAACAAAGACAAAATAAAAGATTACATATTAAAAATTACATATTAAAATATATTACTCACAGGATCTACATTTTCATTGTTATTAGGTACACTTTGTAGTTCATTCGCTTTATCTTGTTGAATCTCTTCTTCAATGCCATCACTGAAGTGTAAAACTTTAATAGGTCTATTAATTGTCACTAGTACATCAGAAACGTTTGTTTCTTGCATTGCTTCCATTTTAACGTATCCTTATTCCTTGTAAAGTAAACTATATTTTTAGATATTCTGTCATTGTTTACCACAAGATATGAAAAGAAACACTACGCATTTGTAATTTTGTTTACCATGTCCATGGATGACAAATAAAAATATACTGTCTGTGGTTATTATCTATATATTGCATGCTTGTGCATCTATATATATTATATGTATTAATTATGTAGTAAATACTAAAATAGGTAGTTTGTGTCATGGATGAATTGACAAATAAAAGTTTGTGTTGTGTTTACATTTTTGATTTTACCTTCGACTAGTATATACTCAAGGTGTAAAAGTAACGACAAATAGCGTACCCGTATGCATTCGTTACTATAGCATCAGTACTCGTTACTTTTGAATCGTTACTCGTTACTTTTGATACCCGATAACATACTCGTAGAGCATCGTATCGAGTCGTGTTGCGTATGTATTGCGTACGGTATAAATTATACGATATACCGTATATCGTTGACGTCGCGTTGTTTTCTGTGGAATAATGTACGATCAACAAACCATTTCAATTGGAGAGTTACATGATATCCAGAACCCGTAAATTTTGAATATTTATAAATCTATATAATTTTTAAAAACTTTACTAACAATATTTTTTTATTAATAATTTTTGAAATTAAATAATAAATATAAAAATAGGTAATTTAAAAATGAATAAGTATCTATCACGTTAGTGTGACATCGTAATGCATATTTTATTTAAAATCAATTGCGCGAATGATTTATCAAATCATAATCTGTATGTATTACACATAATCACATGATCATGTCTCACGTAGGATAAATAGATAATTATTGTATTACAATATTGTACACAATTATTATTTTAAAAGAGCCGTTGTTGAGTTTCTCGCCGGTTCTTCTCAGCAGAAAACTTTATTCCGAGCCGGCGGTAGTTCCTAACGGACTAACATTTAATTTTAATTTAAAATGTAAAATTGACGATTTAAAAGAGCTTGTAAAAGTTTATTTGAATAAAGTATATTTTGATTTCATTTGACATAATCATTTAGTAAAAATTATCAGTATTTGTTGGATAAAAAACTAAAAATGTGTTCTAAATATAATGGTTGTTTCTAATTGAAAATTGTTTCTAAACAAAATTTCTAAGATCTGGAAATCATGCAACTCGAAATAAATAAATAAACTCTCTAATTTACTCATCAATGGTTTTAAGTATTAACTGAAAATTGTATTTTGCTGAATAAAAAATCAATAAAAACATTAGTACTAAAATATGTACGGAAAATGCGAGTAACGAAATGCATTCGTGAGTAACGTTTCGGTACTCGGTACTAGATGGCGTACCCGTTACTCAGTAACGAATACATGTACGGTTTGCTACAGCTCACTATATACCAATGTACTCTGTTTTATTTGTCATCCATGGTACCAGAGATGCGCAAACTAGGTCCTGGAGTGGATTGAACATGGAATAGTTCCTTTTCATAAAGGAACTATGTTCACGAAACATGTTCGCGGAACTATCTAGTTCCGATAGTTCATCCGATCCGATCGTTCCGATTTTAACAGGTTATCACTGTCATCGGTTCCCGAGGACAGCATAGCGGGAGATATTGTTTTAATTGACCGACTTCAAAAAAAAGGAGGTTATCAATTCGACACGTATGTATATAATATTATTAGAACTGCAAGATATTAACATAATATGATATATTAGGGCTTCGAAGCAAATATACAAAATTTTATAGGTGTATAGATGTATGTATGTATGTATGTATGTATGTTTGTTTGTTTGTTTGTTTGTTTGTTTGTTTGTGTGTATGTATGTTTGTCCACGCATTTCGCCGAATCTACTATTCCGACGTGATCATGCCTTTTTATTTGCTTACATTTATTTTAACTTAGGGAATAGTAAGAATTTCATCAAAATCGGTTCATTGGTTTTGAAGATATGGATAAAAAAGTGTATTTTTTGTAATTACTACTTTTTACAAAAACTATTTCAGTTTTTACTTAAAACTAAAAATTACGAAATAAAAAAGGTTTAAAAAAAAATTAAACCAACTTCAAAAAACTACGGTGCTTTCGCGCGCAATGTGACTCTAGACGAACGCCACAAAAATATTGTGTCAAAAGTGAAAGAATATTATAATTTAAAAATATATTATTAATGTTTTAAAAGTTCAAAACGAAAATCAGATTTAATCAATGAATTATCGACTTTAACGCACAGTGAAGTTGGCACATTATTAATTGTAATAGCATAGTAAGAGATGACATTATAATTATTGCGAATACTCGCACACGCACTAGTCACTACAGTTAGTTTACACACAGTACCTACGCGATATAATGGCGCTTCCACACAGCAGTGCAGCAGATAACATCACATACCTAACATTTTTTAACATGAAATAATTTTAAACCCACGAAAAAAAGGAGAAGGTTCTCAATTCGACACGTATAAATATTTTTTTTTATTGTTTGACCTCTTCTTACTTTGGTACTAGGTATCTACTATATCTACACTAAAAATGGAAAATAAAAACTTAAAAAAAACTACTTCAAATAAATGAAAATATTGTAAATGATTGTTTAACTTATGAATTATTTTATTATATACATTGATTTTAATTTTTAATTATTTATTGTTACTATTTTTATTAATTATAAATTCTAATTCATATTAGGTATTGTAAAAATTAAGAAAAAAGTTTAAATTAATAAACATTCTTTATATACATCATAATTAATATAACATTAGATCTAATACTATTATTATAATATAACTGAATATGAAAGGATTTTATTAATAATTAATAAATACTTACTTTCTTAAATTGTTTTAATAGCAATTTTAGTAAGCGCAAGAAATGAAAGGCTTTTTTATTTTAATTTAATGTATTTAGTTTGTGTTCGGTGTTTGGCACGTGTTTATGATTCTCGGTGCTTGTGGCAAGCGCCCAGCATGTGGACGCGGCTTAACAGATTACTAAAAAAAATTAACGCTTGTGAGGACGCACCTTAAAATTTAATATATAGCTATAGCTCGGGTAGGTTCGGCAGGAGTCGGTTACGTTCAGTTCAGTCAGTCGCTCCGGTGATCGGTCCAATATATTCGTTTCTCGCTCCATCTCACTCCTGCACATGTGGAACTATATGGAACTGTGAACCTGTTTCAATTGACATCGCGGATTGGAACGATATCGTTCCGGCCTAGGACATAGTTCCGGGAACTATTTCAATCCGGACCTACGCATGTCTACATGGTACTCTGTGCCTTCGACTTTTGAGCAATACTTGTTAATATTTTAGATTGCTTTATTTGGTCGTAAAAATTCGCGGTTTGATTTATATTCTAGTATATTGAAATTTTAAAATGGATTCTAATTATTGTCGAGGCTGCTTAACGAAATATGAACCAGTGGATTTATTTCCATATACTGAAAAAAGTAGAAGGCTGTTTGTTTATTCCACAGGGTTGCAGGTAGTTTGCCTAGTATAAGCTTTCTGGAGTTCATTTTAAAAAATCTACCTAGTTATCAAAATAATTTTTGAATTGTAATGCTAAATAATAATATTTTGATAAATATTTTACAGGTAAAACGTAATGATGCTTTTCTGTTCCAACTCTGTAAAGAATGTTGTATAAACATGAAAGTTGCATGTAATTTTAAAAAAACTTGTCGCAATTCTGATAAGAAGTTAAAGAGCTATTTACAAAGTAAAGAATCTGGTGATAATACAGATTTGGGCATTTTCCTTAAAAATAATGAAGATACTTTTAAATTAAGGTAATTAAATATATAATATAAAACAAATTAGCTTTGCAATAGTTTATTGTTAAATTTATATGCTGTACTTAAGATACCATAAAATACTCATCAATATCACTAGATAATCTTGCAAAATTTAAACAAGATGTCATATTTTTATCAAAAATCATTTCATAGGTCATCAATTAATCCCTTCACGACCGCGGACACACCAGTGTTAACAATAGATTTCTTAGAAATTTAATTAATTTCTTAGAAATTTAATTAATTTCGTAGAAATTTACCTGGAGGTGTTAATAACAAAACTGTTAAGAGTGAAAACAATACTGCACACTTTGAAAACAGCTTTCAGAATAATACTGTTTACTGCTTATAGTTGTCCGTTTTAAAATGATTGTAATTTTGATGATAAAATAATATTGGCACTTATTGTTTCAGGCTTCCTATAAATATCGGCAATAGTACACCTGCTTACCACATAAACAAGGATGATGATAATGGTAATCAATTTGTAAAATTGTCTTATGAAAATAATATATTTCTTAAATGTTTTCTTCAGTGCCAAGTCAGACCAAACATGATAGTCGATAATTTACACCTTTTCTTTTCAGAATCAACCTGTACAAGTATACAAAACTTCATGACAGACATACTTCAAGCTGAAGAAATCCCAGATAGTGAAGCTCGTATTATCTGTGAGGTAATAGAAGAAGAAGCTGATATATTGGAGGACTCCCTAGACTCACATTGGTTGCAAGAAGATGTGTCTGTTGATAGTGATTTTAAAATGGACTTTTCGTATGTATATATTAATTTATTTTATACTATTTATAAATTATATCTTTCTTCGATATGTATATCATATAGGATTCTTAGTAAAACCTTATTGTCCAAACATGGAAGATAATGTGGCTTAAATTAATGTATAAATCCATCATCAGCATTTTTTATAAAGTTTTCCACAATAACCAGTCATATCACCTGCTTCCCATAATTTCCTGAGACCTTTAAAAGGGTTCTTACTCATGTCACTTATTATTCTAACATGTTCTGTTCTTTAATTTGCTATTCTATGTTATTTTCATTATATTCAATATAATTAGTAAATAATTAAGAATATCCATGAAAACTTTCAAATTTATAATATAAAATGGCATATTTACCTCAATTGTTTACTAGAGTTCCCAGTTCCCACTAATGAAAACAAAAGTCTTTATTCAATTTAAAAAACATATTGAATAATTATTAATAAACATGTAAATAATAGTTTCAGTCCATTCTCTACACCACATTCAGTCAACAATGGTACCTTTTACTGTCCAAAGAAATTTAATGATTTAACTCAAGATGATAAAAAAAATAAGGTACTTGATGTTAATCTAGAAACCATAAACGAAAATACTACATACTTCAATAAACCTGTCATAGAATTTAATTTAAATGAGATTTTAAAAAAGGAAATCCATTTAACTAAAGACATTGAAGAAAACAAATGTGTGATTGATGCTAATTTAGAAAATGCATTGAAAAATGATACTGCTGAAAAAGTAATGTTAGATGATATACTCTTGACGCCTCCAGGTAACTAAAAAATTTTAGGTACATTATTCATTTTCAAATTAATTATATAGTGTTTTAATTAAAGATTAATATAATTATAAATGTAGGATATTGTAGAAAAAAAACATGTGTATGAACTTATGTATGCACGTAAGAAGTTATACTTCCCATACGTCGCAACTCTCTGTTTGTAAACTTCATCATGTCGCTTTTTGGCTGTCGGTGTGCGCGGGCATCGTAAAAATTCATCTATATCTATATCTCATAATTTTTTTCAAACATACCAAAAGATGTATAACTTCAAAAATTTATAGTTTTTTTCTTTTTTAACAGTAACATTTTTAATTAATTAACAGTAACATTTTTTTTCTAGTACTACCAAATATATCAGGTCCACCAACACCAGAAATAGCAAATATTCTATTTGGCGACAAAATAAATGAAAAAAGCATTGTTAGTCAAGAAATAGTTAATAGTAAAAATAATGTTTGCCAAGAAGACATAGATGTTTTAGATGAATTCTTAAAAGTTAATAATTCAAAGCGAAAATCTGTAGATATTGATTTTGATGACAGCCTTATAGATATGGAGGAGATTGAAAACATACAAAATTATTTTAATAAAAATTCACCAAAAAAAGATAAAAATATTGAAGTAAAAGATATAAAGAGACCTACATCACCTATAGAAAATAAGTATTGTATAACAAATTTCTATTGTAAAATGTGTAAACGTCAGTTTAAAAATTTGGTCGCGTTGAAAGTACATTGCACAAAACATCACAAGTTCAAAATTGAGAAACCGAAGACAAAGAGAATTCGTAAGAAATACATATGTGACTATTGCGGACAATTGTTTACATCATCTAGATGTATCGCGAAGCATCTTGCTAATCATCAGGTATGAAAATAATTAACTTATAATGTACTTATTTGTTTTGTCTGATTTATGTCACTTGGCCACAATGGATATCCAGCTTGGATTTATTTTATTGCTTTATTTGTATATTTATTTGAATGCATACACACAATATGTTTGGCTCAGCTTGTAGTGACCCTACTTGCTGTGCCAGTGGTTGCGGGTTCGAGTCCCGCTTGGGGCATTCATTTGTGTGATGAGCACAAATGTTTGTACTCCAGTCATGGGTTATGGTTTGTTTATTTTATAATATGGTGGGTTTATAATTATAATATGTCTGTATTTAAAGTTGTATATGTGTACTGTGTCAACTACCTATCTGGTATCCATAACACAAGCCTTGTAGTTTACCACTGAACTAGGTGGTGCTGTGTGTTAATGTCCCAACATATTTATTTATACACTTGCCTATTATATCCACTCTGGAGAAAGTTTACTCTCAAATATGTACACACTGATCTAGGATACATATACATTCTTAAAATAGGTAAAGTCCTCTCAACGTTCTCTTATTTTTTAATACGATAGCAATCTATCTCCCTTAAATCACTAAATTTTTGTGATTACCATACATAGGTTTTATTAGTCAATTACAATAATTAAGAATGTAATTTTAAGCGAATTATTATTATTAAATAAAAATCTAATTGATTTTGTTACAGAACCCTAGTACATATAAATGTGAAAAATGCACTTTAAAATTTTCATCAGAAGCCACATACAGGAAACATTTAAGCGTCCACACGGGAATTAGAACAAAAAAAGTGAATGGAAAAGTATGTAGAACATTTTGTTTTAGTTATACTTAATATAATAACTAATAACTAATAGTAATGAAAACGGGCGATATGAGATCTAAAGGAACCTTTTTTCACAACCTTTTTACCCAACTGCTTTGAAACCCAAAGAAGAGTCATTTGTTTGATCTGTATGTATTAAGTATATAAAAAATAACTCTAAATAATAAGGTACATGCCAGAAATATGAAAATCACGATAAATAATTAATTTTAAATTAAAAAAAATATATATTTGTCATTTTGGATAAACAAAGAAGAAATAAAGGAACAAAAACAACAATAATTATACAGGAGTACTTACATTGAAAGCCTTAAAAACATATATAATTAATACTGAAAAAAATGTGCCATCTTAATCCAATCTTACTGTTGTGAGAGTAGTGTTTTTACTATATTGTTTTCAGTTATAAATATCGATGAAAAATACTAGATACACAAAAAATGCAAAACTGTCACCAATTGTGTTTACGTAATTATTCTTGTTGTAATAAATATACAACAATATAAATTGAACCTTAAATGCAATGCTTAAAGTTGGTTTTACAAAAAAAAAATTTAAAGTGCGCTCAAATGTTGAGCGCTCATTCGTTGAGGACATTTTTAGTCGCTGATTGTGTATCTAGTACTTTTTTGATCGATGGTTATAAATAAAAAAAAACATATGAATCTGTTTTACAGAATTATGTATGTAACACATGCGGCGCTGTGTGCAGCAATTCGTCGAATTTTAATATTCACATACGGAGACATTCAAACAAGTATACACATAATTGTGAAGTTTGTGGCAAAGGGTTCTACAGAACTTCAGATTTAACTCTACATATGAGGTGAGAAGGAATATTTTTTACAGGTTTATTTAAAATGTTAAGTTACAGTTTTAACTAATGGTTATGACGATGTGCAACATAATAACTGAAATGCTGTTGTCTATACATTATACATATAATAAAATAGTAACAAATCGAAATCTGTATATATATTTTTAAATCTATCCCACGGGAATCATACATTTTCCGGGGTAAAAACTAACCTATGTGCTATTCCATACTATAATCTATCTTTGTGCCAAATTTCATGTAGATCCGCTTAGCCGTTCTGGCGTGAGTGAGTAACAAACATCCATCCATCCATTTATAATTTTAATGGGTTTCCAGATATCACACAGGAGAGAAACCCTATGCATGCCACTTGTGCCCGAGAAGGTTTACCAGACAAGATTCTCTTTGCAGGCATATAAAATGTCATACGGGTAATATTGTATTTTCTTTTATCCTGTTATTTTTTATATAATATGTTTTAACAAAAAACGATTAAAAATTAAAATAAATATTTATAATTTTATATAGAATGAACTTTACTTTGAATAATGTCAAATTGTAAAAGATACGGTTAAGAATGTTACTAAAACAATTGAATTGAATTGTAGAATGCTACTCTTAATTAGGTACAGTATTTTGTGACTAAAGTAAAAAAAACTTATAAAATGCAAACAGCGCCATCTATGAATACCCAGTATAAATTACCTCATGTGATGATTATAATTCTATTCTAAAACTCATTTTATTATCTATACAAATAAAGAGAGAGTTATTGTTTAAAAATTAGCATGTAAGTTTTTAGAAGAACAATTTTTGCTTTGAGACCTTTTGCCGATAATATTTATACCTATTAAAATGTTATTTATATTTTTAAATTATCATTGTTTATAAATAATTTTTTAATCCATTTCAGGCGAGAAACCGTTTTCCTGCCAATTTTGTGACTCAAAGTTTTGCAAATCATATGATTTGAAAGTGCATCAAAAGAATTCAAAGAAATGTCTTGAACAACAGAAGTTGATTGTTGAAGAGAGCACTGAAGATATTATGCAAAAAATACTTATAACTGAAGCTCTTGTATTTTAAAGCTTCAACTTTTATTACTATTAAAATATGATCATTTGTTTTGTTTTCTTTTTATTTAAAAAAAATACCTAAGTAACTACCTCCTATGACTTTTCCCGATTGCCTTTTACTAATAGAAATGAAAAACAAGTTTTAATATATTTTTTATACAACGATAAAAAATCAAGCAAATTTCGACATAAAATTTATTGTTTTACACTTTAAAATAATAATGATTGCGCCTAAAAAAGTTATTTTAGCAGAGCGTAGTTTCGATCTACGGACCTCTGGGTTATGGGCCCAGCACGCTTCCACTGCGCCACTCTGCTTGTACATACATTATCAAAAAACTGTACCTTAATCCAAAATCTAAAACTACTTAAAAATAGACCGAGTATTCTATAGTCTATACTAATATTATATCGTGATATTTTTGTACGTAGGGAAAAATTTCTGAAACTACTGGTGTAATTTTGAATTTTTTTCGCTATTAGAAAGCTATATTGTGATCGAGTGCTATAACTCGCGTCATCTAAAAAGAACTGTGGCTGTCAAGCTGCGCAGAAGCGATTTATCGGCCGCATGCTTGCCGGCGCGCTATTGGTTCGTCAGTTCGAAATAGAATCGCGCACACAAAAGTTTTTATTTACGAAATGGTTTTATATATAGAAAAGAGAAAAATTATTTATGACCTATGTTGTTTTACAAAGAGAGAGTCTGATTTTAATGCAGTTAATAATTAAAAAAAAATGTATTAAACGTATTAACTTAATTTTTTGGAGGTAGATTAAACATTCTACACTGAATCAAACATATTTTAATAATGAATAAAATTCTATTTAATGATATTCTATCTAATTTATTTTTCTATGTCCCTATTAATAACTAATATGAAGCTGCGAGCGAAATGCTATGAAAAATAAAATTATAGGCTAAGTACTTTTGTGCGCGAGTATACCCATGTGCAAACATACCCTCTCCACTTTCTTCCAGCGTTCTTTTTAGATGACGCGAGTTATACAGACTATTTTTTATTTTCATAAAAATGTTTGCAGTTAAAAATCATAATCCCATGAAAAAGATGACACGTAAAAAAATGCAAGTCTCACGACGCAGTTCTACCGCAAAAAAATTGAGATCTAATGTAAAACCAAGTTGGTTTATAATTTATTCAGTATCTATATAAATATTATATGGAAGCATCTATCCAACTTTGTCTTAAAGTGATACCTAGTTTCTTCAGGACCGGTCTTAGCCATCTGGGCGCTCAGGGTGAGTCATGCCTTTGGCGCTCTTTTAGGTATACTTATTTCATTACAATTAAAAAAAACGTGTATATAAAATTATTTAGTGAGAGATACGATAAAACGCTGAATCTAGTTTTCCTTTAGATCGATAAAAATGGTAGTCAAATTAAATGGTTAAGTCGACCCCCCAAAAAGCCCGCACTGATTTACTTATTAACATTTTATAGAGACCGTATGAATATTAGATATTTTTATTTCTTTAATAAATAGAATGACTTGTCCGCATACGGCAAATAACAAAATTTACCTAATATTAGCGTTCTAAGCGCATTACTTACCTATAATATTTGTGTACGCATAAAGACCCGCTAGCGGTATCTTCAATTATGACAATTAAAATAGATTATTACCACTAACTACAAATACCTATCATGTAGATTTCAATAACACAAAGTTAACATTGTATATGACGTCGAATTTTGTTCTAACCAATGTTCCACATTTCGTAGTTTTGAATTTGCCGCATCTTATTTTATTATTTAATATATTTTTTATACATTTTGACATTTACTTCTTTAATATATTTTTTTTTCATGGGGGTATACTCACGATAAAATAGTGAAGGCATTATTAATTCGATTTTGTCTTTTCAGATTATCAGTATGGATGAATCTGTTTGTATCATCTGCAATAAGGCAGATGATAAGCAAGTGTATGAAATAAAAAAGGTTTTTTGTTTTTTGCATTTTCTCAGAAGATTTACTATAGTAACATATTGTTTTCACCATCGGAAAGTAGAGATTTCAACGAACAGAAAACATACCAACTTTTTGAAAAAAGCTGATATTTTGACGGGTGAATTTTCGATTGAAAATTAGGGTGCTTTTTCGATATTCATTCAAAATAAGGTGAAAAAATACATATTTGTATCAAATAAATTACAGCGTATTTGGGACATAAAAAGGCAAGTTTTCAACAAATTTCGTTAAAAAAATTTTTTTTGTAAAAGTTAAAAATAAAAAACCAAAAACTTGGTTTTTTTGAATTTTTCACATAAATTTTGAGGTTATGTGAAAAAAGTGTAAATACAAGAGTTTTAGATCTTTTTATTACCTACAACTTTGCCATTTGACTTTTTTCGATAGGACTTTTAGTTTTGCCGGAAATCGAGATAAACCGTTTTTTACCCTTAAAAACTCACCCTTATCCCTTCCCGACCTCAGATCGCCCGTAAATTATTTTTCCTTTAATTTTTATAATATTCCCCTCCTTTTCTAATGGGTTGCATCCTACTATTATTTTTTTCACTTTTTATTATTTTTAAAGGCTTCTACCCTGGTCTATATTCCCTATTACTTTTTATTTTCTTTGCATTATAATCTTTTTCTCAAAAAGTCTATGAATTAGTTGGATGGTACTTAAAAAATGCGTACGAGAAGAATTTAGGAGTGAATGGTGAAGTGAAGTACCAATGGCTATATCATAACCTGATTTGACAGAAGAGAAATTATACTCTTTTATATTTTTACTTTTTTTTTCATTTTTCCTTAACCTTACATTTCCACAAACACCTGATGAGATTATACATTTACAAAAATGGGTCAAGTGAGAGTCAAATTCGCACACGAATTCCGTATCCTCGTACATGAAGGTACTTTTTATTATAACTTTTACTCTACCTATTATATTCTATGTATGTAGTATTTTAACTCCGATGATCGATTACGACCGTAAAAAAATGTTTCTTTTATTTTTATTACTTGTTGTTATAGCGACGATAGAAATAAATACTCTGTGAAAATTTCAACTCTATTACTGTTCATGAGATACAACCCTGTGACAGACGGACGGACAGTGGAGGCTTAGTAATAGGGTTCTGTTAGCATCCATGGGTAGGGAACCCTAAAAATGTGAAAAGTTTAAAGCAGCATTATCTTAACAAAATAAAATAATATAATTATTCATTTGTCATAATGGTAAATATATTAATATTTTGTTTGTATATTTATTTAAATATTATTACAATATATATGTAACCTAGCAAAGAATTACAGTACTTCACCCAACCGTATGAAATTGATTTGTACAAGCCTTTACTGTAAAAATTAATATGTTCTATGTTCAATTTCCTTATTTATGAATAAAGTTATTATTATTATATGTATATGTGTATTTTTTTCTCTTTGATGTATCTTGTGGCACTTAATGGGATAAGTCCAACTTGGCCTTTGTCCTTTTTTAAGCAATTTCAATATTTTGTTTCACAAGTGCAATAAAGAATATACTAATGTAATAAAAAACGACTAGCAGTAAGTATTTAGTTTTAACTTTATTTTTTCTGTATAAAATAATTTTACGATATTACAACGACAAAGTCAGGATCGAGAACATTAATTTTACATAATATTTTGCGTGAATTGGTCACATATTACAGATAATTGTAATGATCGTCAACCCTGACCCTTATTACAACACGTAAAATTGGTGCATCCTTTAAGACACATTGTAACATTTGAATGCATTTGATAACAAATGATTTACGATTAGAACTTAAATATAACATATTCAATAAATAGTTGTAAAAAAGTTGCTTCTTGGCATAATATTCTAAAGCAAAAACTCAAATCACTCATATTGAATAGAAAACAAGTCTACAGACTTAAAAGTAAAATGATCATGTCTATTATATTAAAATTACTACACACCCTATATGTAACGAGAATTCCAATAATTTTGTTGAAATTTTGGCTGACACATTGTAAATATAAACTATTGTTTTGTTTGGCGAAATAAGGTTTCTTTCACACATTTTTTTTTGAATTCTTCTTTTAGTTCATAGTCCAGGGTTCGAGTCCCGCATCGATCAATGTATGCGTTTTTTTGTCAATAAATATTCTCTGTCCACTGTCCATCTTCGCTTAACAAGTGCTATGCCTATTCTCTTTTGTTGTGATGAAAAATAGCTTTTATAATACATAAATTGCGAATATACAAAATAATCAAATCTTAATTATATAAAATTTGGTTTGAACAATAATAATAATGTTTAAAAAACAATTCATACACAATATCTAAAAACAATTAACATACTAGGAAAATTAAATATTATTGTTTTATTTAAACACACAATATGTGCATTATGTATGTTTCTGTAATAAATGAACGATTACAGAAAATTTGTTACTTTTTAAATAATAAAAAAATAAATAAAAAAAAACAAATCAATTTATAACATGCCAAAATCAGATTAGTTTTCAATAAAGAAAAAAAGTTTTTTTTCTTAAATGCACAAAATATGTTAAGCAAAATGTGATGTGTGAAACTAAATAATTCAAATATATTAACAAGACCGCTACAATGTATACTTAAAACATATTCTACATATTTTTTTAGACATTTCCTCATTTATCATAGAAAAAATATTTGAAAAATTATATATCTGTACTCTCAAGATAAGTTCCAATTTCTTTATAAGATGTCCAAATTAAAAAGTTTTAGAAGTGAAACATTTTTTTAGGTTCAAACACATTTCTATGGTATTGGTTCAATATATAAAAGTCGCTATTATGATTCTGTTGTAACTTATTCCATAACATTTAATACATCAGGAGATATTTCAAATATTTATTTGATATTCTTAACTGTTTTTAGTGTTCGACAAGTATTTGAAAGACCTAAGTTAAATTTCAAACTCAACAATATTTAAAAACTACTAAACTAGTGTTCCATTTTTAAATATTATCGATATAAATTAAAATCTACTAAAATTCTAAGCAAGATGGCTCTATTTGTCTTTGGATGACAAATGGATTTTATTATTTCTAATGAATATTCCATACATATGTATCAGAGATTGGTGAAAAGTTGATAAGTAGAAAAAATAAATAAGATGTCAACACTAATAAATTGATTGAGAAGACTAATGTTTAAAAGGCGTCTGGTAATATAACATATAGTTAAAATTACAAAATTTCATAGTTGTAACACAATTTAAATTTAAAATGGTGTAGTAAGGTATATTATCCAGCAATGGTCTTTTAAATAATAATTCGACAATAACGCAGACCTAATACAAGCTTTAATGACTTTTCGAAACAAAAACGAGTTTCAAACTATCTCACATGGAAGTGTTTGTACTGTAATTTCTTCATATCTATACATAATATATGAAACTTGATATATTTTGAAATGTCATTAAACACATTTGTAAAGTCTTCAGTTAACAATTCAATAGTAACATTATTTCTTAACATTTAAACTTAGAACTTAGCACCTTCGATTTTAAACATGAACATATGAATACAAATATAAAATTAATCATAAATTAAGATTTCTGGCCTTTTGGTCTGTGGCTTATACTAGAGACTATGCAGTTGTCTGCTATTTGGATTCTTAACGAGTCATTTTCTTTTTGAAGCTCTGACAGTTGTTGGTTGAGCCTTAAAACTTCTAACACTAATTTATCGTTATCACCTTCTAACTTTTCTAATCTGAAAAAATAAAAAGAAATTTATTTTTGTATCTATCCATCTTACCTAGAAAAAATTTAATCTTTTAAAGCAATTATTACATTAGTTATTATAAAATTATCTTAGTAGCAGGTTATATATTATGAAAGTTCTGGTATTAGACCATGTTTTATAACTTTTGGGTCTTAAGTATGATTATAATTCATTGTAAAGAAAAAACTAAACTGGTTTGTTTTCAAGAAATTCTTTTTGGGGCAAATTTTTAAGATTGATGATTTGCTCAATATTTTTAAAATTCAATATATTATGTTTTTATATTTAAATAGTAATAGTGTAATAAAAAACTTGTCAAGGTAAAGCAAATGAGCCCAAATTTGAATATTTTACTAGAAGCCATTGTAAAATTACAATATTGTCAATCATTAGAATAGTTTGATGGTATTAACATCATACAAATGAATGCCCCTAGCAGGATTCATATCCGCGACTGCTGGCACACCAAGTAGCGTCATTACAAGCCAAGCCAAACGTGTCGTCTATACTATATACATATGTCATTGTATATTGTACAGTCCTGTTTACAGTTCCACTAATCCTTTCACCAAAGGTTGTTTGTAAGAGATAGCTCTTAGTAAGTATTTATCTATCTATATTGATAAATAAATACTTCTTATTAATTGTTATAATGCAGCCTTAAATACTGCATTCCTTCAAATCAAACATTACAATGTTTTGATCACACCACATTTGTTTCACAGGAGTAACTTATCAGATGCTTATGTTATTAAATATGGACTATAGATGGAATATAAAATGTAATAAGTTAAAACTTACTTTCTCTGTCTTTCTGTGAGTTCAGTGATATGATCACACGCTTTGGCAAGAATGCCTCCTTTACTAGCTGTATCTGGGAGACCTGAGTTTGGTACTAGAGCTGCTAATTTCATGATCCAGCTGTTTATTTTATCCCTACGCCGTCTTTCAACTTCATTGTGAGTTGCCCTTCTCTTGTCATCTCTCTATAAGAAATAAGAAAACAAAGTATATTAAAGAGTTATAATAAAGTTTTTTAATATAATGCAAATATATTATTTTCTTCACAGAACTTCCATACATTATAAATGTGAAAGTTTGTGAGAATGGATGGATGTTTGTTACTCTTTCATGCCAGAACGACTTAACTTAAAATTATTATAGTCTGGAATATCACATAGGTTACTTTTTAATCAGAAAAATATAGTTCCCGTGGGATAGATTTGTTTTTGTCTATGCGAGTAATAAATGTTTAAAATTATTTAGCACCGATATGAAGAATAGGGGCAATATAAAGAAGCAAACAATGTACCTTCTATATTTATTCAACTAAGCATCAAGTTGGAATTTTTGCATAAAAGATACATATCTAATGGTTTTGTATAAAAGAACATATGTCAAATCATTTAGTTATTTTGGTTTCAATGCAAGTGTACAACGGCTGTCTTTTATCATATTGTTTATAATTAGTAGTCTGATAAGATGGTACTTCTATTGTGGTATTATTTACACTTCTGTATATGGTATATTTTAAGAATAATATTTCAAAGATACCTTTAAATACAATATTTATATACTGTCAATTAAATGATAAAAACACCAATATTTTATTAGAACTACTAAGTAAAAATTCTTTTAGTTTTATACAATTATAATATTTTTTTTTCAAACCTTTTTGGCTGTAACGGCTTTAGTCTGTATAGGTTGTCGTCTTATGACTTTCTTTTGGGCAGCTGTTGCTCCAAAAACTTGCACTGGATTACTTATAACATAAAATTCTCCGCTTGGTAATACTGAAATTAGAAAGTGATACAATTGAATAAATTCATCAAGATAATAATAATATTAGAAATATTAAATTGTTGTCAGAAAATAATGCAAATACAAAAAAATTAAACACTTTGAAATTTAAGTTTTGAATTTATAATAAATTTCTTTATCAAAAATAACTAACCATGTGTTGGTGATTCCGAAGACATTGTGTTTGGTGTTTCCTCTCCTGTCATTTGAACTAGTTTGTATGTTACTGCACCAGCTGTAAGCAACAAATATAGAGTTATAAGGTATTTAATTTTGTTTAAAAAATACATACTATGATGTATCTATCCATATTTTTATAGATAAACAAATTACTTACTAAATTTGCACCCTTATACAGCAATTACTTTTTTTTATATAAAATATTGGTGAACAAAACTTACATATATCCTTAAAATTATATGTTGAACTATTATCTTCTTCATTGCTATCCAGAAATGATTGTGAAACTAATTGTGATCTATTACAATCTGCACTTTCTGTAATTAATTATAATTAAATTTACTTGTACTTATTTGACATGGACACTTTAATAACTTAATAGTTATTTAAGTAAAGTTCGTTTATATGTTTTATAAATTAGGCTGTAATTATAGATTTCTTTGGTTTATTATTAGTAAACAAATTGATATGTCACTAGTTGAACAAAAATATAATTCACTAAGAAATTAATGTTGTATCTTACCGAACGATCCTTCATCAACCATGCCCAGCAACTCACTATCTGCACTGTAAATACCGACAATAAGCAAATATAATTTATCACGTTAAACAAAAATAATATCACAAAAGAAAAAATATTTGCCAAATTGCAAAACCCATGGTGACCTTCATTGGCACATTAGATTTATATAATGATGTAATTACAATGATGACTAAGAAATTTATATAAGACACCGATCACATTTTACCTGTTATCGAGTGAATTTTCATGGATGTCAATCTCAACTTCTAGTTCTACTTTGGCCATTGCGCGTAATTATTTTTGAATTTTCTAAACTTGATCACGGGGACAAAATAAAGTGGTCATGTGATGAATCCATAGACAATTTAATACAGGTGGAAAAATTCTGATTTCTGATTGTAGTTATCATAGATAATTTAAATAAGATAAGTGAGAATTTTTTAAATTAATGATATAATAATTAGCAATTTAAATTTATTTATAAAATTATAAAAGATTATTTAAATAAATATGATGGTAAATTACTAGAACCCTCTAGTGGTAAATAATATGACTTCGCCGTACGATTAATAGTACTAGTAAATGACAATAGATGGCGTTATATTACAATAATAATTATAAAAGTAGATTGCATAATTTTTTTTATATTATCATATATTATTTGGCTTTGGAGTTTTTGGACACGGTTTCAATGCGTAAAATAATTAGGTATTAATTAAATATTTGTGGCTTCACGTCAATAAAGAATATTGAAAGCCAGATTACTCACAATCAAACAAATGATAATGCTAGACAAGTAAATCACGATTCACAGAGTAATTTAGATAAAATCTTTTAGGACTGTTGACAAGGATATTGTTATACTGAGGTAATTTCAGTAAATCCAATTACATAATATATGGAATAAGTTTAATACGTTTCTGCTGGTTTTTGTCCAAGGAATTGTGCGCTTGATAAGTGGTGTCTTTGGAGCGACATCTATTGATACATAAAATGAAAATGAAAATTTCGTTATGATAACATTGAAGGTGAATTACTATTATCCATGGAGTATACCTATTGCTACATATATCTCAGGATAAAACAAAGTTTTACAAAGTGCTAAGTTGTATTTAAACTTTTTTAATGTGCGCATTGCTCAATTAAATAACACTGTGTGTAATAAGTGTCCAAACATCCAATAATAATTTATTAACTTGTACCAACATTTGTCGTTAAAATATTGTAATATTAGTACCTCTGAATAATAAAAAATCTTGGATCTTTTATTTTGAACTTGAATTTTTTTTGAAAATCTTTACTTAAATATGTCGGTAGGTGCCTTACTTAGTTATGTTATTTCAATATTGATCAAAAAAATTGACACATTTTACCAAGGCCTTTAGATACACGGTGGGTTGATTTAATTTATTCGTTGAACGAACGAGAAATCCAATTTTGTCTGTCTGCGATTCATCAATCATAATTGTACCTTTTCATTCCAGTGAACGTTTTGACTGATTCTAATGGAATAATACAAAATATTTAAAATATCGAAGGATCTTCGTTATATTTTTTTAGAGCCGCTTTTATGTACAATAATTTTGATTAAGGTATATCTACATTCTACACTAATTATACATATTATAAAAGAGGTAAAGTTTGTAAACTTGGATATAGAGGAAATCTCCGTAACTAGTAACTACTCACTGATCTGATTATAAAAATTCTTTCATTAATCTATACTAATATTATAAAGAGGTAAAATTTGTGAGTTTGTGACGTTGTAGGGGGTAATCTTTGGATCTACTGAACCGATTTAAATGAAATTTGGTAAGAAGATAGTTTGAGACCCTGGAAAGGACATAAAGTACGTTTCATCCCGGAAATCATCCCTTAAGGGTGTGAAAGTGGGGTTGAAAGTTGGCATGGGGAAGCAAGCTAGGGACGAACCCGACCTAAGCGAGGGTGAGTTGCTAGTAAGAATCTACATTACTGCCACGTGCTGTAGGCTATGTAAGTATTTATGATACCATCGGTATCATCGTTAAAAAAAACAAATATTATCAATAACTTGAATTAATGTTTTAAACATAAACGATATGTTGGTACATTGTACATACTTATATTGAAAATACGCCTTCAATAAATTTTTAAAGGGCATACATAGTACCAATCTAACCTTAAAGAAGAGACGAAGAGATCTTGAGTTGTAACATTTTTTTATATAGGTCCTATAGTTTTAATCACTGTTTTCAAAAAATTACACTAAAATAAAAAATAGTAGGTTTTTCCATTACTAATCCCTTCTGCCTTTGAACATACTAATTAGTACCTACCTACGATATAGGTATTATAATAAATAGTCCATCGCACCTCACTCTTCATCGGGAAAACGTCTTACTTGCAATTTTTTTTTTTTTTTTTTATTATGTCGGGAAATGCATTTACGCATACCACCTGATCCCCCAGGTGGTGATGTGGGGCTCACCGGCTAGAAGAGTCGGTACTACCCACTAAAACCCGACATTCCCCTCCCCTCCGCCTTAATGGGACGCCGCAGGATCGCTTGCGCATAACTACTACGGCGCCCCGGCGGCAGGTCTGCCTAAATAGGCAGACCACCAAACCAATGGGGCTGCTCCACAGTCAACTCTGCTACGCCAGAGAGGTACCCGGAGCAGCCCCATTAAACCTAACCACCGCCCACCGAAGTGGGCCACCTCCAATCGGCTGCAGAGGACAGGGAGAGCGGCAACGAAACACCGACACTCCTCTTCCCCTGCAGCCCCACCGCGTCCGCCATCAAACGGTGGCGGCCCCGTCTAGGCCGCGGAAGGTAGGGAGAACGGCGCACCGAAATACCGGCACTCCTCTCCCGCCGCGGCCTACTCCTCCGCCGGATGCGGGCCTGCGACCACAGTCCCGCAACCGGCACCCATCATCCGGTTGTGGGACCAAGCGGTCCCACCACCGGTGGCCGCAACGTCTTCGGCTCGAGTCCTAGACGAGCGGCCCCACCCAAGCCATTTGGTCCGCGCCGGATTTCTCCGGTACCACCCGCCGCCCTAAGCGGGTGGCATTCCTATATCCGCCACCTGGGGACGCGCCCGGTAGGAGTTGGCTTCTCCCCCGGGACCGTTTCACATAAAACCTAAGATAGCTTCAGCTAATTATAACTTTTTTAATATACCTATAGGTACTTTTTTAATTTATATTAATTCTAATATTTTATAGATTCCAGGCGCAATAAGTACATCGCTGCACGGATATAATGATAACCAACCTTAAAAATGAACAATCTTGAATCTTCCCTACGGCGCCACCCAGCATACCCGCATTATCGATATTATTCTGCTCCTAAATTACCTAAATATTATAATGGCTGGTAACTTCCTAAATAGGTTACTTAATGCAAAATCATTTTTTTGTCAGATACCTAGTCCTAGAGAGAGCGCGGTCAATCAAAAATATTTAAAATAATCTCTCCAGCTTTGTCATAGATATTTGTTTTAAAATAATAATTATGTATTTCTAATATCTCTCTTTCTACATTTTCAAAAGTCGTCAATTTTAAAATTGTTTCATTTTATCATGAAAACTTTTGATAACCATTCAGCTTACATCTAGTTAGCGCTTCGCGTGCAGAATTAAAGCGGTCAGATAAGATTGTAATTAAATACCTAGTTTAAAGTTAACGATTGCCTTGAGTCCTTCTAGCGTGTTATTGTAATGTATAGGAAACTAACGATGCAAGTTTGATGCACTAATATAAAGTTACGTTTTACGATTTTCTATAATAAATAATTGCTATCTATTTCTAAATAAAAATTGAGTCAGCTTATTAAATTAATTACGTAATTTAGATAATTACCCATAGATCAGAACTTAAAAGTTTAAGTCTTTAGGTAACGGAACACTATAAAGTCAATTAATGGCAGAAGGGCAGTTTTGGTCCATAATCGAAACTTGGAAACGATCAATGAATCGTCATAAATCGATATGAATTGGTACACAAGAATGTCACAAATCATTTATTCCTACGTCATTAAACGTTTGATACATTAATAAATGATTATTGTTTCCTGCCGACATTGTCAGACACATATTGAGAGCTCATACTCGTATATGTAGGTACTACATATGTTGCTTACAGTATGCCTGTTATTAAACTGTCAGTTCCAACTTCCAATAATAAGTAGGTACACTTTTGAAATGCTGTGCACACTATTATTTTTATACTACAACCTTAAATAAATTTTCATGTAAACTTATTATTTAATAATCTCTTAAATCCTTATTTAATAATTTCAGTATGACTAGCGGTCTAAAAACACCATATGGCGTGGGATTCATGGAATTCCATGCTCTCCATGGCACCTCAGTGAAACACTCGTAAAATGTCTCTGAGTAAGAAACAGGTCAGTAACATTTTTAGCCCGATCTGCCAATAGTAGGTAGTAATAGTACAAGTATAATCGTTGCATATTTACATTTACATGAGGTAATCTCTGAAACTACTGAGCGATCGATGGATTATAAAAAATCTTTCACTAATAGAAAACTACATTACCACCGAGTGCTATTAGGCATCTTACTAGATGCCGGATGCGGGATGTATCCGAGCGAAGCAATGATAAGTCGCTAATCTATACATATAATAAAATTGTAACAGTCGAATCTGTACATTAAATATTTTTTGGAAGATGTTATTGAAATATTCATTATTAGCGATACAGAGGCCGTATCTATAGTTTTTAGAATTTTTGTCTGTCTGTCTATCTGTCGCTTCACGAGAAAACCACTGGACAGATTTTGATGAAATTTGGTATGATGATAGCTGGTTATCCAGATCAACATACCTATAAGGATACTTTTTACTTCGGGAAAATATCTCATCTCTGAGAAATCTATACTAAACGTTAAAACGTAACTAGGGACGAACCCGAGTGGAGCGAGGGTGAGTCGCTAGTACTACATAAAAATAAATATTTTTATCGTAAGCAAATAGTCTTATCCACCCTACAAAGGGCATGTACTTAGTTGCAAAATGAATATGATCTTGCGTTCGTTGCTTTCGCTGTGAGAATAGATGAATAGTTTCAGGAAGTAATTATAAATCAATCAGGTTGTGCGATGATTAGAAATGTATTGAAACGATCAGTTCCAATTACGAAAACAAAGAGAAACGATCTCGTATACTTTGGTTGTATTAGATTTTGTAGAATTAAGATAAATGACCGATCAGTTGATTTAGAAGTGAAAAGAGAAAAATGTGTTGTACACTTAGAAATAGAATAGAAGCT